TTTCTAATTAATAAAAGTAGTCAAAATATGTTGTTTAAATTTTCATTGCAAGCACGAGTAAAAAAGTTGAAAAACGTAACATTCACATTTCTCTTTACTATTTCTATCAATTTTAATTTTTCACAATCACACATAACTTGGTACACATAATTTAGTAAACTACATAACTATAAATCATCCACACGACTAGTAAAAAACATTCTGGTCATTTAGTCTGATTTTAATAAAGTTAAATATTAAAAGGATATTAAAGTAAAAGTTATTCAATTTTAAATAGCGTGTGTTCAGTTTTTCTCTTCACTATATACATAAACTGGTCATTTAGTTCTGTTTTATTGCATGAGCACTTTGGCTCTTCGCTTTGAGGACTGTACAAAAACTTATCTTAGGAACGTATGGACAAAATCTTTGCTTTTAAAATCAAGACTGTCGTCACATTATTATATACTTCATACTCCATTTACTATATATTAATTGTTCGAATTTTTCAGTTACAGAGAACAATAACAAGATGAGGATAGTAGTCTTTGTTTTTGCATTATTTGCCACAATGTGCTCAGTATTTGCGTACGTACCACCTGTACGTAGACCAATAGGTGGTTCTCAATTTCCAACATTCCCCGGTCAGGGGCCATTTAATCCAAGACTGAGATGGCCATATCCACCGCCAAGGGTGAATAGTTTTTATACATATAAAGACTTGTTTAAACTTGTGGCTTATTAAGTCCACAAATAGAAAATTTATGGTTCTTACATTATTTTAGGAATGTGTCTCTGTTTCATTTTCTGCATTAATATTTTAATATTTATTAATATCATTTAACAATACCTGTACGTATTTCTTGTTACAGCGAATGTTTTAATAGTCAAACCAAGAACAAATCCTACCTTCATTAAGAGGTTCAATATGTGAATTGTGGTGACGCAATTTTTCATGGTAATATGAAGGATAAATACAGTATTGTCTCAACTTTATAATTATGTATATGTATATCGAAATAAGTAAATCTAATTTTACTTCATTCTTCACTCAAGATTCTTTTCTTTATATTTTTTTATTATAACCTCTAAATCATTATTGTACTATGACATAAGCGCCACCGTACTCGAGTACTCAAATTTTTAAGAACTAAACGCAAATCGGTGCAATAGGTTCACGTATAGAAAAAGTGCTTATGTGTGCGTGAATCTTATCTATATCAAGTCCTTCCCTAAGAGTATAAATCTATATAAGTTGCAGATAAGTTGATTAGAATTCAACAAAGAGTATTTCAGAACGAAAATGGATTTTCGCATAATGATACAGTTATTGAAAAGTATCAACATTTATATTTTGCGCAACATTGAACATTCGTATCGTAATTATTACATGTTTCATTGAATCCTTGTAAATATTAAATATTTGAA